GCGTAAGGATTGAAGCAAGTTTGAAATGAACCCGCTGCCTGTGGAATTCCAGGCCAGCCAGGCTACATAGCAAGACCTTGATTCAAAAAAAAATGAAACCCAACAATAACAAAAAGAATGATTCTATAAAACCACACTGTGCCTTCATGTATCTGGAGACTTTCCAGGCTCCCTGCATCCTTAGAGCAATTAGAACATCACTGAACAGAAGTTCCACAGTGCACGTCACTTGGCTCTTATGAATAACACTCACTGGTTCCTATATTTTGTGTCTCTCTCTTTGCACAATTCTGAGAGCTGTCTGCATAAAATCTCCAAGAGATGGGATTTTAATGGTGTCCTCTCTGGCAGCCCCAGGCAGAGAGAGGAGTGGCCTCTGTTTCTCAACTGCCACCTCTGCTGGCTGGACGGCTCATCAAAAATCACCTCAACAGCATTGACAGAACCTGTAATTGACGGAAGCTCTCCGGTGGCAAAACCCTATGGGATTGTTTCTTTGTATTTTCCTATGTTAAAATACCTTCTATGCCAAAAAAACCTTACATGTATAGTAAAAAGACCTGGATAAAATATGAAGTGTGGGGCTGGAGAGATGACTCGGGGTTCAGGAGCGCTTCCTCTTGCGGAGGACCAGCTCCTAGCACCGTGTCAGAGCTCACAACGTCCTATAACTCCAGTTCCGAAGGATCTGATGCCCCCTTCTGGTCTCCAAGGGCATCTGCACTTATTCAGTGAACATAAACTCATGCAGGTGTACACACGTATACATAAATAAAAAATAAAATCTTTTTTAAAAATATGAAGTATATAGCACATACTAGAGAGAAATAGGAATGCTTGCTTTTTCTTTCTTTCTGGGTTTTTGTTGTTGTTTGTTTTTTGAGACAGAGTTTTCTCTGTGTAACAATCCTGGAACCACTCTGTAGACCAAGTTGGCCTCGAACTCACAGAGATCCACCTGCCTCTGCCTCCCGAGTGCTGGAATTAAAGGCGAGCGCCACTACGCCCAGTTCTGTCATTTGTATTTAAAGGGAGGATGTCACTATGTAACTCTGGCTGGCCTGAAACTTGCTGCATGTGGAGCAGGCTAACCTTGAACTCACAGAAATACATCTGCCTCTGCTTCTGCCTTGTAAGCACTGGGGTGAAGGGCATCACTATCATACCTCACAAAAACTTGCTTTCTTGCACAGGGCCCTGGGGCTGTTCCTGCAGAAGGCCACACCCAGAGCAGAGGCTGGGCTGTTTGGGTCTGGAGATTTGGTATTAGGATCTTTCTCATCCTCTTGTTGACTCAAGACTCTGGGAGGGTTCTGTAAAAACAGTAACAGTGCTGACACTGAGGGAAAGTCCGCCATGCTGGCCATTCTTCTAAGTGGGGCTGCATGTGTCGAGTACTGTTTGTTCTGTGTTCTGATTAGGATCTGTAGATACCGTTCCATTTTGTAGATGTAGAAACTGAGGCACGGAGTGGCTATGTACCATGCCCCAAATCACACAGCTAGGATAGTGGTGGGACTGCCTCTAAAGCTGCGCGAACCAGCTCACCTCTCTGCTATTGATGTTCTGTTGTTATAGACCTCCTTTTCTGTTCACTTCCATAGAAGGAAGCCCTAACACCTATCTAAAGAGATTTGTTCTGTTTTGTCTGAGACAGGGCTTTGTGCTCAGGTAGCCCAGACTGGCCTCAAACTCACTATATAGCCAAGGTGACCTTGGATTCCCTATCCTCCTGCCTCTACCTCCAGAGAGGTGGGATTGCAGCTATGTGCTACATGGGACTGAGAGATGGCGAGATGGTAAAAACATTGTTAATGTGCAAATGTGCTACGTTCAAGTGCCTAGCATCCACATGAAGCCCAGGGCAGGTCTATAATCCTAGAGCTCTTACGAGGGGATAAGAGGATAGGTCAGGTTTGTGCTACCATACCCAGCTGGAGAGAAGTTTTTGAGTAGGAAGTTAGATCAAGCATGTCAGAGTAAGTGTGAAATAAACCTACTAACCATTACTAACATTCTGAGAGCTCCCGTCGGTGGTGTGGCGTGGGAGTGTGTGTGGGTATCCAGAAGTGCATTGTGTATAGACCCTGACCTTGCAAGGACAGAGCCCCTTGAAGAATGTTCTCCTTAAAGGCCTGTCACAGTAGCCAATAGGAGAGTGCTTGCTTCACAGGTCTGAGGCTCTAGGCTTAACTTCAAGTACTTTCAAAACGAGAATGCTTTTATTCATGAGAGATGGTTCATTGGGTAAGAGTTTGGACTCCAGCAACTCCAACACCACATTAAAAAAAAAAAAAAAGCTGAGGACCAGACATAGTGGTTACACACCTTTAATCCAAGCTCTTGGGTGCAGACAAAGGCAGAGTTCTTGTGAGTTCAAGGCCAGCCTGGTCTAGTCTAATATAGAGAGTCCCAGGCCAGTCAGGGCTGCACAGTGAGACCTGTCTTAAAAAACAAAAAAGCTGTGTGTGGCCATGCACTCCCATAATCCCAGCCCCAGCACTGCTGTGGGTGTTGTGGGGATGATCCAGAAAGAACTGGGGCTTCAGTGTTAGACCCTGTCTCAAAGGAGTAAGGTAATCAGTGATAGAAGAGGGTACTCAGTGCTCTTCTCTGGCTTCCCGGAGTACACTCCTCACTCATATCTATGCATGCTACACACATATGCACACATACATACATGCAAATACATACACATGAACATATGTGCACACACACTCAGATACATACATGCATATGCACATATACACATGAAGACACACATATAATGAAGTTTAAATCATTTGACCATGTCCTGTTGAACTTTAGTTCTTTTTTAATTTTTTTATTTTCTTATTTCTTTTCGATACAGGGTTTCTCTGTGTAGCCCTGGCTGTCCTGCAACTCACTCTGTAGACCAGGCTGGCCTTGAACTCACAAGGATCCGCCTGCCTCTGCTGGGATCTGCCTGCTCCAAGTGCTGGGATTAAAGGTGTTCGCCCCCCACCGACCGGCTGAACTTTAGTGCTTATTAGGAACATTTAGAAAAATTTTGTCCTCCGTAGAATACTACCTGGGGCCGACCAGCCCTTGACTGGCTCCCAGGCATGTCCACAGCACAGTGCTTCACCTCCCCTCGCGGGCTTCCCCCTCTTCTCCCACCAGGAGTGGACAGAGTAGCTACAGCCCCATTCTGCCCAGCACTGCCGTCAGCTGGGCAGCAGGTGGCGCAGAGGGACCTTGAAGCTTAAGTTTGGGCCTTGGACTGTCTTGAATGGCTCCCTGGAAAAGAAGCCTTTACACCTCCTCCTCACCTTCCCTTCCCCTCTCCTCCCTTCCTTCTTCCTCTTCCTTTTGTGATTTTGTTTTTGCTATTTGTTTGAGACCCGGTCTCACTCTGCAGACCAGGCTGGCTTTGAACTCACAGAGATCTGCCTCCTCTGCCTCCCAAGTGCTGGGATTAAAAGCCACCATGGCTGGGCCAAAAAAGAATGTTTTGAGCCAAGTGGAGTGATACACATCTGTTGTCCCTGCTACTGGGGAGGCAGAGGAAAGATGATGACCTGACCCCAGAAGTTTGAAGCCATCCTGGATAATGCAAATGAGACCTTGTTTCCAGAAAGAGAAAAACTGAATTTTTAAAACACTTTCTGTTAACCCAATACTCGGGAGGTAGAGGGAAGAGGATCTAGTGTTGAGTGCTGGGCCAGTGAGACGGGCCAGTGGGTAAAGGCTATGCTGCCAGGCCTGAGAACCTAAGCTGGATCACTAAGCCCCACGTGGTGGAAGGAGAGAACAAGTTCTTCCCTGACCCTGACAGGCTCCCTGTTGTGCGCAAATGAATAAAATAACAGTTCAATGTCATGCTGCAGTAAATAGCAATTTTAGACCAGACTGGGCTACATGTGACTCTGTCTCAGAAAGCAAGCAGGAAAGAGGGGGGGAGAGGGAGGGAGGGGACAAATGCCACGTGCGGTGTGGTAGCACACACCTGTAACATCAGCACTCAGCAGGCTGAGGCAGGAGGATTGCCTAATTTGAGACCAGCTTGGGCTACACAGTGAGTGTGAGGCCAGTTTGAGATACTAAGAAAGCTGTCTCAAATATAAGAGAGAGAGGATGTTCTGTGCACGCAGGCAGAGGAACGGCGACAGCTACTGGAAATTCCATCTTATCGCTCACCTTGTAGAGCTTCTGGAACGCTTTTGAAGAGAAAACCTAACCCTACTAACACTGCACGATAAAACCGGAGAAGAAACGAGTCCTGCCCCTTCTAGATATAGAGATAGCGGCGTAGTGTGGTGTGTGGGTGTGTGGGTGTGTGGGTGTGGGCGTGTATGTTTCAGGGAGCCCAGGCTGGCCTTAAATTCAGTTTGTAGCAGAGGATCATCTTAAAGGTTTTGTTGTTGTTTTTCAATGTATAGTTTATGTGCATTGGTATTTTGCTTCCATGTAGGTCTGTCTGTGTGAGGATGTCAGAAGCCCTGAAACCATAGTTACGGACAGTTGTGAGCTGCCATGTGGGTGCTGGGAATTGAACCCAGGTCCTCTGGAAGACCTCTCAACCGCTGAGCCATCTCTCCAGCCCAGCCTTAAACTCTCGATCCTTCTACCTTCATCTCCACATGCTGGGATGACAGCTATTTTCGGCAATGTCCAGCCTCTTCTTCTGTATAAACACACACACACTGCTGTGCTGTTGCAGACTGAATGTCATGTTCCCCCAAATTCATATGTTAAAATCTAACCTGATGTAATGGCACTGTAAGGAAGAGCATTGGGGAGGTGATTGGTCACAAGGGTATCACCCGCATAAGATAATCATCCTTCGTTAGAGGCCCCAAAGAGCTGTCCTGCTCCTCCTACCATGAGAGAATACAGCAAGACCTGGATGCCTGGGGAGCAGAAAGTGGGCCCTTACCAGTGTGTCTGACAAAGCCTTTCCTGGGAAGATGCACCACACAGGTCTACTCACCCCTGATATGGAGCCCATGGCAGACAAAGCACGGATACCACCAAAGTCCAACTTGGTGAACCGTAAGTTTTATTGAAGTTACTTACAGGAATATGGGGCAAAAACGACTCAAAGACAGCTGTATCACCAGGGCCCACCCCAGGGCGGGGGACAGCTCACAAAGACGGGACCCTGCAGCCCACTGCACAGTCTGCGGGCAGCTCAGCAGGCGGAAGAGGGTCCCTCCCGGTGCCTCAGTTGCTCTAAACCTCTTCCAGGCAGGACGGCTGGTTTTCTCGGCAGCTTGGTTTGTCTGAGACTTTACAGCACAGCTCTCTAGATCTGAGGGGTATTTCAGCTTTAACTGTATACTCGGGCAGGGAGGGGCCTCGTGAATCTGGTCAGTTCCCGGGACTTTGGAAGCTGTTTTGAGTTGTTCACCTTCCTGCTTAAGGAGCTTCCTGCAGGATGGACTGTTTTAATCTTGGAGGAAACTATTACACAACAACCAGCCTTCTAGATAGCCAGGGTCTTGATCTTGAACTTCTCAGCCGTCAGAACTGTGAGAAACAGGCTGAGAGAAGTGACTGGACAGATAACATCCTCGATCTCTCATTTTACGTGGCCTGTGATAGATAACAGCCTGGACAGTGTCTTGTCACAGGGGACAGGAATGGCTGTGAACTTAGAACACACCTCAGAACCTCTTCACAGCACCAGCTAGTATCAGTAAGCACCAGTGTTAGCCCCACAGACACGAGAATGATTAATTTTATATCAGATAGGTTCACGAGTCCAGTCTTCTCAACAAAGAGGTGGAGGATGTGCTTATTTCCATCTTCCAAGGCAAGAGACAAGTTAGGGAACCTGCTCAAAGTCAGAGGCAGTCATACCTTCCAGCAGCCTGGTCCTACTACAGTGCTCTGGCATGGGCTCACCTCCTGGACCATGATGCCTTGGGGCTGGACACCACAACTACTCACCTTTGTATTTCCCACAGTACCTGATACACAAGGTAGTCTTTAAATGTCAGTGTTGACCTGAACCGATACTGCCTGTAATTGAAGTGTGCCTTCATTCAGTGTATGATACATGAAAAACTTACAATTTTTCATCTTTAGTGATTGGGAGACTCTACCAAGGAACAAACAAACAAACAAAAAGGTCGGGCACACCTTCAACGACAACACTCTGGGTGGGCAGAGACAGGTGGATCTCTGGGTTCAAGGCCAGTCTGGTCTGGTCTACATAGTGAGTTCCAGGACAGCCAGAGTTATGTAGCTCTGGACCCTGTCTCAGAAACAAAACCAGTCGGGCACACCCCTTTAATCCCAGTACTCGAGGTGGACGCAGGCGGATCTGAGTTCTAGGATAGTCAGAGAGACCTTGTCATGAAAAGCCAAAACCAAACCAAACCAAAAAACAAAACAAAACAAAAAACAAAAAACAAAAAAAAAGCCCACCAAAAACCAGAAGAGACTGCTATGTACTCTCAAGACTGCTTCTCCTTAACTACCTTGGTCCTTTCCTGTACCCGACACTGCATGGATTCTGTCCTCTGGCCCTACCCTTTTGTGGCCCGGGTAAGCTGAATGAATTGGCCTCACACGGCCCTTAGTGCTGGTCCCAGTGGTGTGCACCTGGCGTCAAAACACGTGGGAGGTTGAAGCAGGAGGCTAGACTTGAGTTACAGAGGGAGTTCAAGGGCAGACACTCCTGAGCGACACGGCAAATACGCAGTCAAACGCAGTTAAGGGAGGGTGAGAACGAACACTCTGGGGGAGGAGAACCCTGCTTCCCACTTAGGAATAAAATCTGCCATTTGCCCGGCATCTCCTCGAAGTCTTCGTGGAGACGACCAGAAACTGGCGGGCAGAGAGCCCTGCCCAGAGCGACTCTGCACAGACGTCCCCTGCAGGGTCGGTCGGACGTGCGCTCGGCCACCGCCCGGAGCACGGCGTGCCCTGCCCCTCCCGCGCCCCCGACCCACGCGGGAACCCTGGGGACGCCGCTGCGGGACAGGCGCCGGGGCCGAGGAGAGGGGCGTGGGGTCCCGATCGAGCCGGAGACGCGGTCGGGGCGCGACCCAGACGCCCCGGGGGCGGGGCACCAGGCGCCTCCCCACCCCGGCCGCCTCGGCAGCGGAAGTTCCGGTGTCGGCGGGCGGAGGTGAGAGGTCAGCAGGAAGTCGATACGTGGCCGCCGCCTGTCCCCGCCGAGGAGGCGCTGCGAGCGGAGATGGCGGCGCCGCTGAACGTAGAGCAGCTCGAAGTGTCGCTCGACGGCCTCACGCTGAGCCCGGACTCGGAGGAGCGGCCCGGCGCGGAGGGGGCTCCGCTG